GTGATGTTTGATTCTCACAGTGCAAGTCAGTTAATGTAGACTGCACAAATAAAACAATACTTGCTTGGTGGTGGAAATAATTTTAGATTATGATATTATTTACCGGAACAGCGATTAAGCTGGGTAAGGAAATTCCAGTAAACTATTGTATACTAAAGGTAAACCTATTACTAAATAATTATTCCTAATAAGGGGTTCTGTTCTTTAACGTCATTACTATAGAACCAATAGTTCTTTCGTTTCGTGTTACCTGTGATAATGATTGGAATAGCTTTGTTCGCAGCAGCTGCAACGGCTTCCTGCAGATTGGTCTCGTGTATGTTCAAATCCTCAGGTGGCGTGTACGTTGCATACCATTTTTCAAGTTCTTCTTGGTATACATTCCAATTGGCCTTTCCTAAATTCCACCGAGGCTGCGCAGGAGGTGTAGGAGGTCGCGCCAGGTTGAGTGTCGTGACAGTAGCATAGTGGTCACTGGTGATCACCGGGTCTACTTCCCACTTCGCCTGTTGCTGGAGTGCAGTGGAGATGAATGTAAGATCAAGGGAACCTCCTAGAATGTGAGTGGGTTCCCCAGTGTTGAGAAGTGTAATTTCAGGTACTTCTCGCAGAGCTGCAGCTAAATGGCGCCCATCTGCATTGGCTGGCCCAGTTGCACCTAACTCTGGATGATGAGCATTAAAATCTCCAGCAATAATTAAATTTTCCTGCGTGGCCAAGGCAAGCACTGCCTCTGCTTCTAGTTTACGTCTAGGGGGCTTGTAGACGTTGTATATGAGGAGCTCAAAATTAGCCATATTCACTGTAACTGCTAATACCTCTACTCCATCCCCACATGAAACTGAGTCTATTTTCTTGCTGGGTATGGTGTTTCTGAGTAGGGTCATTAATCCTCTTAGTCTCCCCTGCTCATACGGTAGAACATAGTGCTGATATCCAGCTAATCTGAAGGATTTCGTGGCTGGGAAAAGAGTTTCTTCCAAAACGATTATATCTGCTTTCGTGCTGATTGCAGCCTCCTGAAGTGTGTGTTTTTTATTTCCAAGACCTTGTATGTTCCACTGCAGAATTCGTAATGGCCAGACGACGGGTTCGGTTGGTGTTGCTTGTTCTACTAGAACTCCTCCTCGGAATCGACCTCTATATTCTCTGCCTCGCAAGTCGTGTCGCTGCAAATCGGACTGCATTGATAGTTCGTGGTCATCCCCGACGTTGTTGGAATCTGTGCATAACTGTGGTCCATCGCTATGTTGTTGGAAGTGCAGCAGGTCGGACTGCATTGATTGTCCGTGGTCAACCCCGGCATTGTTGGAATCTGTGCAGAACTGTGGTCCATCACTCTGTTGTTGGTATTGCTGCAAGTCGGACTGCATTGATTGCTCGCTGCCGTTTCTGGTGTTGGCGGAACCTGCGCATCTCTGCTGTTCAATACGTCTTTGTTGGCGTTGCTGCAGATCAGACTGCATTGGCTGTTGTTGTCTGTCTCCTGTGTTGGAAGATTCTGTTGATCGTGGGTGGTCACTGCTTCTTGCAGTTGCGTTTGTGAATGTCGATGTTCCGGTGTCTTGACTAGCCGACTGTTGTTGGTAGTCAGTATGTCCAAGTTGCGTTGTTTGTCCTCTTGTGCTCCATCCTGTCGGAGACTGTCTAATTCTCGTGTAACTGTGGTCTGCTGCACGATCTTGTCCATTATCACACAAGTGATGTCTTGAGTCTGTTGGTGTGAGGCGTTCTGCGTCATCTGTAGGCAATTGATAATGGTCTCTGCCATGATCTTCACGATGGTTTTCAGCTGGACCTCGCTAAAACTGTATAGCTGGTGAGTAGATTCCGAAAGTAAGTGTTTTCTGCTCTTTTGCATTTGCTGGACTTCTGCAACACTTTCGTGTAATGTCTGATTCGGAATTGACAGATTCGGGAAATTTTGCACTGTGAGAGCGGGTGGCTGTTGTGGCTGTGCACGAGTGTTCCAGACGTTGGTGTTGGTGGATGTATTGCTGGGCAGTGTGTTGATCCTGGCCTGAGCTGTCTGCACTTTTTGTTTCCGTGCAGAGCAGGTTGTGCTCCAGGCATGATGTTTGCCTCCACAATTTGGACATTTGGCTGTAGTGGTCTGGTTTGCCTTGTGCTTGGCAATACAGTCTTTGGTGGGATGTCTCAGGCTGCACACTCCGCACCTCTCCTGTCCTGTGCAGCGTGACTGATGGTGGCCATATTTCTGACACCTGAAGCAGCGTAGGGGTTCCGGGACGTATGGCCTCTGTCGGTATGTCCCCCAATTTCCAAGACCGAAACTTTCTGGCACACGTCCCATAACGGTCACCAGAACCTGACGCGTCGCTGCCTTGTCTACTTTTGTGTGGCAACGTTCCGCATTCAGGACTTGCTTGTGTTCTAGCACTGGATCCAGGGGAAAGTCGATTGGGTATCCCAAAAGCACGACTCGTGTGCGTCGTTCTGAAGGGTCCAGCTTTACCAAGCACACAGGTTTCCCCTGCAGGACTCTTACCTTCTCTAAGTAATGTGCAGTCTGTTGGTCTTGAGGTGTCAGTATTATTTCTCCCTTCAGGTTGACTGTAATGGAAAGTTTGAGCTCTGGTTGTTCTTTTTCCATCGCCGTTACTACTCCATATGCTGTAGGAAAGTGGTCGGTCTGCATGATCTTGAATTTTGGAAGATGTGCAGAGGCTGGCGATGTCTGGTGTGAGACTGGTGGTGTCCTCCCCTGTCTCATACTGCTGTCCTGCGGCTGGGCTGTGGAGAGAGGAACAATGGCTGATACTGGCTGGCGTGAAACTGGTGGTGTCCTCTCCAGACTCACACTGCCAAAGCCTCGTAAATCCACCGTCCCTCCTCGTCCGAAAGCTGTTACACTGGTGTTAAATCTACTGGTACGTGGAAATTTAGTCTCCGTGAGTGGCTGACGCAACACTGCACAATTCTAGGAGAAATTACATGATGTTTCACAACCTAATACAGTAAATTCTACAATACTAAGCTACATATTAGTAGTGTTAATTATTACGCTTAATACAGGAAATACATCCTGTTGTATTAAGGATTAGTAAATGAATATTAGATGTGTATGAAGCCTAATACAGGAAATACATCCCGTTGTATTAGGAATGAGAATAACTGTTGGAAATTTCCAACACCTTTACAAAATTGTGGAAACTAATTCATTTTCAGGATTCGGTGATTAGGATTCTGATAATATCAGCATTGTCTAGAATTATTAATGTGTGCTCTGTAGTATGTTGGGAGGAGGAATTTTGCTGAGTGAGGTAGCATCAATAGCTGATTAGCGAGTGTTGGCACAATGATGTTTGGACTCGCCAGACCAACTTAATGGTTAATTATGGTGCACAAAAATGTAGATAAGTATATATAATGTGCATATATAGTGTAATAACAGCAAAAACAGTACGTTTTATTGTTTAAAGAATACCATATTTAACTCATATTAGTTAACTGAATATATCTCTGTGTACCAATATTCAACACATACTTTGATACATTATTTCACGATTGCTCACCCTGTTAACTACACATAGATAATTACGCTTAGCTAATTACAATGAAACATTAACGTGATGTATCAATGAGAAAATCAGCAGGAGCAATGAGGAGGATTCGAACCCGCTCACTTGGCCTTCCCAAGCTAGTGTTACAGACCACTACACTACGACATGGCAAAAACAATGCAACCTGGGATTGCAGTGTGAGAGTACATAACACTGGTGTTTGACTATTACATTCTTCCTAAGCCACTAACATGCATGGCGTTTCAGGTACGTTCCTAATCTAACTAATAAAAGGTTTGGTTAACAGGAACATTGTAGTAGAATCTGAGAATAACCACAATATAAATTGATTGCATTGATTATACTGGTGAAGTTGCAAGTCTTAAGTACTAAAATTGGGGGAGTGGGTAGCACAAGATACAGTGTGAGTTTGGAGCACAAGGTACGAAATTGAGGATGGAATTAGGTACTGTACTTTATTGGTTTTACAGTACTTTTGAATAAAGGATAGGTTGGACATTTTTGTAATCCATTAAGGAGTGAGCTCCATAGACTGGATCCTTTTATTTGCATGGAGTGTTTGCACAGAATTAGTCTGACTCTAGGAATATCAGATATTTGTTTGTGGTATTTGGGTATGGGTTCTATTACATGTATCAAGGAAGATTTCAGATTTGGATTAGCATTTAGGAGCAAGGTTTTCTACATATAAATAGGACAAGAGAATGGGAAGAGTGAGTACATATTTAGCATGTTAAGGATTTAAACAGAGGGGCTGTGGGTTTCCTGAAGACAGTTTGTTATAGGTCTGATAGCAGAACTATGAGTGATAATGCGCTTGAGGTAATTTGCAGTGGTTAAACCCCATGCACCGATACCGTATGTTAGATAAGGACAGATTAGCGAGTAGTATAATGAGAGGAGAGCAGAGTGGGGAACTTAATATCTGATTTCAGAGAGTATACCAACAGTTTTTGAGACTTTTGGTTATGTGTTGTATATGGGTGCTGAAGTTTAGTCACTTGCCTGTGTATAGGCCAAGGAACTTTCAATCATTGTTAATGCTAATGTTAACATTGTCAATCTGAAGTTGAATTTGATTTGACTATTTACTTCCCAATAAAATGCAGTAGGTCTTTTCTCTGTTCAGTGTTTGTTAGTTGACATCCATGAGTGGACATTATTTTAATTCGTTATTTACAATATTATTTAGTGTGTGTGGGTTGGGAGTCTGAGTAGATTCAGGTAGTATCGTCAGCAAACAGTATAGGTTTAAAAACGTTCCAAAATTTTGCAAATCATTAAAGTATATGAGAAGTAGGAGAGGTCCTAAGATGCTGCCCTGTGGCACTCCTACAGTAGTGGTAGAGTGAGGGAGGTCATGTCATTGATGGCTACATATTGGTGTCTGTTATTAATATGTTCTGTCACGTCTTATATTTAATGTTAAGGGTACTACTGTATTGTATTTTTCAGGAAAACTGTTAGGTACAGCGGTTGGATCTGAGATGCGGGAAGCTCTGGGAGACAGGGCAACCTTCAGGTTGTTGGCCGGTACAGCCCTGACATTTACCCTCATCTATTGCTTTGCCTTCTGCACCCTCAGAAGACACACCAACAAGACCTTCGCCCTGAAGCCCTCTCTACCCACAAAAACCCTTTCATGTAAGACCCCTCTCACTAAAGTAGAGCAACACACCACTAAACATGGGGTTGATAATACTGTGTGCAGGGTGGATGATTTGGGTGGGGTGAGTAGGGTGTTGGAGGCTTAGTAAGGTGCTGGGGGTGAGTAGGGTGTTGGGGGTGAGTAAGGTGCTGGAGAGGTGGTCAAATTGTGTTATGGGAGTGGGTCGAACAGGGTGTTATGGGGGTGGGTCGAACAGGGTGTTATGGGGGTGGGTGTCGAACAGGGTGTTATGGGAGTGGGGGGGTTATGGGGGTGGGTGGGTCGAACAGGGTGTTATGGGAGTGGGTCGAACAGGGTGTTATGGGGGTGGGTGGGCAAAATTATGGGAGTGGGTGAATGTGGGTCGAACAGGGTGTTATGGGGGTGGGTGGGTTGAGCAAGATGTTGGCAAAATTATTTGAATGTTAGGGGAAAATAACCATGGCGTTAAGGGGGTGAGACAAGATCACTATGCAATCTTATATTCTATTACCTAAGATAAATAAACCCACCAGAATAACTGAAATGACAGCCTCCATCCTGATCACATCTGGACTAACTAAATCTCTGCAGAAAACTTTGGAATAATCACCGATAGCTTAACTGACCACTACCCTACATTTCTTTGAACTTCCACAGGCTAGTTCAAAGGCACCTTTGAACAGGCGCCTGACAGCTGAGTGGACAGCGCTTCGGATTCGTAGTCCTGAGGTTCCAGACATCTTCTGTTCTGATGCCCAGGTGCTTAGGGAGGCACTCTCTCTCACCCCGTAGAACTGTGTAATCCGACTTTGTCGAGTGAGGGGACGCTTTTATTGTCAATCCTCGCCTTCATTGCTGAACCCGATCTTGACGGGCTGACTGTTCTTAAGGTGGCGATTGCAGGATGTATACTCGCGACTCTCCCCTGGAGGTGTCCCTGTCTTGTCGGGTGTCCTATCCTCTAATTGTGGCTCCATGGTGTTTATAGGGGTTTATTTGTGAATGAAATTCTTACCTGCTCATTTCTTTGCTGCTGAATGATCCCCCTATAACTTCCCAGACTCGTGGGATGGGGAACCAAGCCCCCGAGTCACTGTGTTGGAAGACCGGGCTCTGTAGTCCCCGCTCCATTGAACCAAGACCAAGCTACTCCTTTGACCCTCTTAACTACCCCCCTCCGCTCCTCTCCCTCCTCTATGGTTGGGTTGAGCCCCAAGCCCCCCAGTGATGACCACCTCATCACCTGGAGTGGCTCCTCTCATTGTGACAACTGCGCCTTTTACCTCCCATCTTACTGGGGATGCTCGGCGCCGACCCCCCTTCCCCCCCACACACACAGACGCACTCGCACAATTCCTTCCAAAGCTAATACGTTCCACGCGTTGTTTGATCCTGCTACGAAGACTAAATACTTTGATCTCAACCATCTGTGTTCTACACAGCCTGATGATTTCTTCCTCTATAAACACCTCATTGATTCAGTGGATACCTCTGTAAATTTGAACCCCAGCCATACTGGTACACGTGTCATTGTTGCTCCTTCTCAGGATGCCGCTGCATGCTTAGTCGCATTGTCCAGCATTGGGGAGACCCCTGTTAAGATCTCCATAAATGCCGAGTTAAATGCCAGTATTGGCACTGTACTCCTCCCGCACCATGTTGCGACTGGTGTTAGGGACCTGAAAGACTGTCACGATGATATTAAACATATCCTTGAAACCCAAGGCCATTCTGTTATCATGGTTGATACGTTCACTCGACCCTTTCATGGTCGTCATAAGCTTCTTTGAGTTTTGAAGATCACTTTTGATAGTAGGACCCTTCTGCCTTCTATAATTCTTGCTGGTGTCAGATGCTCTGTTCTAGAGTATCTAGACTTTGCTGTAACTTTGGGCATGGTGCCCTCAAATGCACAAGTGCAGTGTGTCTGCCCCATGTGTGGGGCCTCGGATCACTCTAAGACGGAGTGCTCTTCTTCCTAGACTCACTGCATCAATTGCGGTGACGCCCTCCCTACCTTCTCCCGTGCGTGTGCACTACAAATTTGAGGAAGCCATTCTCAACTTGAAGCACCACAATAGTTTTTCCCTGTCTTTCCCTGAGATGAGACGCCAAGTCCGCCGTCTGCCCTGTTTCGCTAGCGTATCTTACGCTCGTGTGTCATGTTCTCCCTCTCCTCGTCCTTACCTCCTTTCTCAGTCTCTCAACCGTTTCCAGGCCATGGACCCGGACACACCCACAACCATCTCACCTGCTCATTTACGTTCTGAACCAGAAGGTCTTCCTCCTGGTTCTCCGTCTGGTGTTTCTTTCCTTCCTTCCCAATCTGATGTGTCTTCTTTCTCACCTCCCTCTGATTCTTCTTCCCGGCCCTTCCCCCTGTCTTTTGGCCCTCCACGCCGCCTGTTTGTCCAGGCTGTTGTCCATCATCGCCCCAGTATTCATGTTGATCGCTCCCGTTCTCCTTCTCCTGTTGAGACTATGGAGGCCAGTATATTACTGCTGGCACACCTGTCTGTTTAAGTCAGAAGCGTAAGCCTGGCTCCTCTCCTTCCTCCCCGGCAGGTAAGAAGGCGTCACTTTCTTCTCCACCCTCTGACTCCGACTCTATCATTGCGTCCCCTTCCATTTCGGTGGTCGAGCCCCCGTGTCCCAGCTATGGAGGTTCCTTTAGCCCTTGATTCTCTGTCGGTTGCTGCTCTTGCTGAGGTGCGCTCCCCCTCTTTCTGCCCCCCTCCCCTTCCCCTGATTATCCTGGCCACCCCTCTCTATTACCTTCTCCAGCTCCGGACCCTGTCCATCCGCCTCTGGTCCGTCCTCCAACTCCCTTGACTCCACCGTCATTGGTAAATTTACCCATGCCCCCTAACCCTGATTTCACTGATCCTGATCTTATGTAGTATACTGTGTTCTTTGCCTTTGTTACTTCACTGTTCTCTGTTGCTGTTCTCTCTCCTTTTGACAATGTCTATTCTTCAATGGAATATTCGTGGATTTTATGCCAACTTTCATGAACTCCAACTTCTAATTACATAGTTTCACCACTTTGTGTTTGTCTCCAGGAGCAGATGCTTGGTTCTCGTCCTGGTCACTTTCGTGGTTATTCCTTTCTCCCCCCCCCCCTCCAGCTTTGGCTGGGGCTCATATAACTACTGCTTTCTTGAGTCGTACTGATGTTTCCTTCGTCTCCCTACTTTTTCCGTCGCCTATCCAATGTTCTAAAATTCAAGTGCTTGAATTTCACTCTTCATCCGGGCGGAGTATTTCGGGAACCTCACAAAGTAGTCAGGGTCAATAAGGTCAAGGTGGAGTAGGGTAACATCAGTCCAGTAACGAACTGTTGCAGCCTCTATGTGCCATGTCAATTTGCCATCCCGTAAGTCGTTTTCGCGGTTTAGGTTCCATTCCCGAGTCGCGACATACTTCTGTGTAGGAGTAAATTTAAGATCGCGAGCAGCATTGAGATACAACGCCGATTGTTCAACAGAACCTGCAGGTACTGGAGGGTCGTCGTCTTTCGTGGAGAAGGCAACAACCTCTACCAGGAAAGATGTTGCAGCTCCTGCAGGTCCTTAGGAGCTGCAGGAGCAGTAGGAGCTTCGTCTGGTGTGGAGAGAACTACAGCCTCTACTAGGTCAGATGTAGGGTCAGCAGCAGCTGGAGAAACAGGTGGAGTAGCATCGGACAGTAGATCTGAAAGTATGTCAGCGTTTACAGTGATGTCAGGGTCAGGAGCTGGAGTAGAACCTGAAGCACAGGTGGGGAAGACTTCATTGAGTATTGTAAAGGTCGGGAGACCGTTCGCAGTTCTTTTGCAGAAAAAATTGGTAATTTTGGATTTATTGGAGTTGGTTTTAATGTGCCGGTCATACTCCCATTCAGTTACAGCATAGAGTTGTTCTTGTACTTTTTGTGATAATGTGTCAATGGAGTATCTGGTGACAAGGTGACACATCATATGCATAGCAGATAGTTAATGAAGTGCGATGAATAGGGTCAGGAATGTCGTTGGTGTAGGATGTAAAGTGTCTGAGCAAGAACAGATTCTTGGGGAACACCGGCATGTAAGTTTTAGTAGTCCGAGGGTCGTTGGAGGGTCTTAATTCTCATTGTCCTATTGTCTAAGTAGTTAGAAAGTAGTTTAGCGTTGATGAGAGGAAGATTAAAGTTATTTTCACAGTTTTAATTTGAAGCCGTCGTGCCAGTGTCAGAGGCCTTCTCAACGTCTTTAGTGACGAGTGCAGTCTAAAGTCTTTGGTGATGGTTGATGCTGATGTAATTTGTCATGATACTTAAGGCGTCGTGTGTAGACCAGTGAAGCCAGAAGCCAAACTTTTTAGTAGTTAGTAAGTCACTATCTTTTGGGTGTCTTTTAAGTCTCATCTTAACCAGCCTTTCAAAGGCTTTGCCAAGTGTGTCTAGAAGACTTATGAGTCTGAAATTTTTTTGGGTCAGTGTGAGATTTTCCAGGTTTTGAATGAGAACAACGGTGGCAAATTTGATGGGGAGAGGAAAATAACCAGAGGCAAGGGAGTCGTTGAATAAGTTAGTGATGGCAGCAATGATGTAGTCAGGAAGTTGTCGAAGGAGGGTATGGCCAATGCCAGATGCACCAGAGGCTCTATGACGAGTGCCCATGAGAGCTGTCTTGACATCAGCTGGAGTTAGGGGGAGTCTGTAGTTTAGTGCATGAGTTAAGATTATCAAGGTGGTGGGGTGAGGTTATCAGGTGTGGGTTTCATTTTGAAGACTGGGTACACCAAAACAAACTACTTCAATGTTTGGAAGGGCAGTTGGTTCAGGAGGATGTGGATGAAAAATGTGTTCCCATTGATGTTTGAAAACTGTAAGTACTTCATCTGATTCAGTGATTTTTGTTGTTGTTCTGTAGACGGTATTTAAATGTAATATGGGTTGACCCTTGTAGGCTTTTGATTTGTTTCTAGAATTCTTGAGGTGTCAAGTTTTCTGTGTTGTTCTTCTTAGTCAATGAGGTGTTTCCAATTTTTTTGTGGTCTTATGAATAAATAAATAAATAAATAAATTTTTATTCAAGAAAAGTACATAGTTGATTTACAAATATAATGTTGCATTTATAGATAGAGCTAGTACATACAATACCTAAAGCCACTAGTACACACAGCGTTTCTTGGCTGTTGAGGATGTGTTTTTTAAGTCTTGTGTTGATGAGATGTTGATTTTTTTTTTTTTTTTTTTTTTTAGATATATACAAGAGTTGTTACATTCTTGTAGAGCCACTAGTACGCGTAGCGTTTCGGGCAGGTCCTTAATCCTAAGGGTCCCTGGAATACGATCCCCGCCGCGAAGAATCGTTGTTACAACCAAGTACCCATTTTACTGCTGAGTTAAACAGAGGCTACAGTTAAGGATTTACGCCCAGTAAATCCTCCCCGGCCAGGATACGAACCCATGACAAAGCGCTCGCGGAACGCCAGGCGAGTGTCTTACCACTACACCACGGAGACTGCAATGTTCATCTTGTGTTGTGAGAAGCGAGCATGATAACAAGCTAAGAGGCGTTTAGTGCAAATGGAAAGAAGGGACGGGAACTATCTGGGGAAAGTGCCAAGCCATTACGACTATATAGCAATTGCAGTGTGGTTTGAGCATTGTTTTGGGAATGGAGATGTTTGCTGTATGTGTGATAGCGTCTTGTATGTTGTGTGCTTGAATATCAATGTCAGTGTGATGTTTGTTGATATATTCATAAGCGAGATCAGTGTCACCAATGTGTTGTTTGAACATGTCCCAATTTGCCCTATGGTATGAGAAAAGTGGAGTGCTGGGGATGAGAATAGGATTTTTGGAAATGGATGAGAATTAAGGGAATGTGATCAGACCCCGTACGGGATCCTGATGAAACAGTGTTGGAGGTTGTTGCCAAGTCTGTTGATGAATTTATCAGGTCTTCCAGAACCTGCATGTATGAAAGAAGTGGGGAAGCCTGGGCCAAGAAAGAATAAATGTTTTTGAAGATATAGTTGATGAAGCTGTTGATCATGTCGATTCCTGATATTGTGGTGGAAAATATGGTGTTGTGCATTGAGATCTGCAAGCAGGAAACCAGGCAAGTATATGGTTGAAGAGAGAGGTGATGTCTTGGATGGGAAGGCCATGTAAGATGTAGGTCGTGCATTTGAGTGGGCCCATGTGGGTGTGGACTTTGATGGCAATGTCATGTTCACAGAAAATGGTACCGTCCGTTTTCTATGTGTGGCGGAGCAGACGCCAGAGGGAGGAGGTAAACAATAGAGCATACAGGACGCCCGCCAAGCTTGGTAGCTACTAGTCATGTAATCATATTAAGTATTAAAGTCAGTAACCAAGCAATGGCTTTATATCAACCCCACAATCAAGACTTCCTCAGTAACACACAAACACCACAGGCAAGAAAATGTTTGTGGAGCCAGGGAGTATGTACAAGTTTGTGTTTATATGAAGATCTTGTGAGTATTGCAACTCCTTCATGTGGTTCAACAGGTGACTGGTAAGAGGAGTAGCCATAATGCTTGATTTTAAGTTAGTAATGTATGTGTTACTTAATACATCAGGTGTCTCGGCCTCAATAAAATCTGACATTAAGGGAATGTGATCAGACCCCGTACGGGATCCTGATGAAACAGTGTTGGAGGTTGTTGCCAAGTCTGTTGATGAATTTATCAGGTCTTCCAGAACCTGCATGTATGAAAGAAGTGGGGAAGCCTGGGCCAAGAAAGAATAAATGTTTTTGAAGATATAGTTGATGAAGCTGTTGATCATGTCGATTCCT